CGAGTCCCTTTCCTCCTTTGCCTCTTCCGCTCATGTTCGCTGCTGTGTAGACAGTGAGTGTGTGGCTCCGGCTGTAGCCGCGGCTCAGTTTGGTTCCAGACTGAGGACGTGTTAGAGGACAGGGGCGGGCTTATATTCTTCTTCTCTGTCTGGTGTTCTCTACGAGCAGCGCCGCCTTCAGCTCTGCTCTGGAGTCAAACTAGTTTTCAGTCAGCAATTGTCATGACTTTAGTGGTTGTCCGTCTGGAGTTACTATCTCCAGAAACATTTCAAACTGTTTTAGTATTGTAATGTCTTTCTCTTTAAGGTATTATTATCTATTAAGTGGTCGAAAGGTGCCCCATCAAGATCTTAGATTAAGGCAACTGGATTTATTTGACTTGATTAGTGAAGACCTTTAAGGGTTATCTGTGGGTCATTTAGGCATTTGGTAGCACTACTCAAATTCTATAGCCTCAATCACATTCCATGTAAAGAAAAACTCCAAATATATTTGATGCATTACTTCATCACTACCAGACTGCTTTTTGTCAATCTGTTTTTTGTTTTTGTATTTCAGTTTCAATACTTTTCTCGTCACTTCTGTAGCCTTTGGAGGTAAAAAAAAAAAAAAAAAAAAAGTTGATACTTACCAATCATAATCCAAAAACATAAAAAATAGGCATCAAATAACTGCTGCATTCAGACGTGAACTTCTTCTTTTATTTTGAACAATGGCGTCATTTCCGGTTAAGGCGCTGCTCGTGAATAATTGTGAAAGTTTCAACCGGAAGCTGGGTGATAGTTAGTGAGTCCGCCTTCACCGCGTCGGTGATGCTGAGGAGAGAGCATCTTCCGCAGCGGGTCCACACGGGCAGGCCGCATGTTGTAGGAAAATGATTTCAGAAGGAGGACGGTGGTAGTCGCCATTGTTGTTTCGGTAGAGTTAAATGTGCCCTTTCCGGCCTGCGCCGACACCCTGAACATCAGCTATGGTGGATTTGCTGGAAAGCACCGCCGTGTCGCCCGGATGCGGTAGATACGGACCGGGCTCCGGCTCGGGCAATAACGCGAAGAAAACGTCGAAAAAGACGCGAGGTAGAAGAGGCAAGCGGGGCAGGAGAAGACGGAATAAAAAGAGCAGGAACAACAAAACCCCGCCGCCGTTTTTACCCCCGGAGGTAGCTATCCCCCACCGGTCGGATTAGCTAAAGCACCGGCCGGCTAGCTAGCTGCGCAGGGCTAACCGACTACGACCTCTATACCAACAAACACACAAAAAAAACACACTCCTTTTGTCAATGGTACCACAAATTATAAAGCCAACCTACCGAGAAATGTCTCTCCTAACGCCTTTCATGCATTCAGCTAATATAATATATGAGTTATAAATAATAAAAGTATTAATTACAGGAACCCGGACATGAGATGATCTGTTTTATTGGCTAGCCTCCAGTTATTAGTTTGGCATAAATACAATCTATACAAATATTTATATTATATAAAATAGAATTGAATAGATATAATGTCTGCAACCCGGCTGGGAATAAGCACTACAGAAAAATAGATGGATGGATGGATGGATGGATGGTAATATGTCAGTAGCTTTTTAGCTTTTTTTCTTTGGAATTTGATAACAGCTAAGGGAATACTGTACACATCATTTTACTTAGATCTGGGCTTTTTTGCTCTACTGCCAAATGGAAGCTCAACGTTTTCTTGGACTGGAGACCTGCAGTGCACACAGAGAGTGAAAGCATTATCATCTTTCACCATCTCATTTTATAATGCTTTCTTTTTTAGATGAGTTATAAACAATGTATTTGTCCAACTAATAAATAAGACCCTCATTCACTGTGAGTAATATGTGCTCTATGTAATTTATCATTCTCTTAAAAACAAGTTGATGCCATAACGTGGCATAGCGTGTGTGTGTATGTGGTATAAAAGTGCCGTTATTTTGCAAAATGTTCAGTAATTTGTTACAGAAAGATCTGATTGGGAAAAAAATCCAATTTTTGTAGCACCGATAAAGGAAAGGGTGTACATTTGGAGGATAGTTCTGTTTCACTAACTTGTATGTTGATAGTTTGTTGTGAGTTTATATCTGTTTCACAACAGAAATCGGATACCGGACTGATCCTGTCTTTTTGCTTCTTTCTGTTTCAAGGCAGAAGAGGGAAACATTGAGTATAAGGTAAGCAAGCCTTTCATTCCCCGATATGTTGTTAAAGATTTATTTATTTCCAGTTTTTATTGTGGTGAGGCGAGTAAAGCCAAACAAATCAAAACATGTCACATACTCAGGCTCCAAATGCATATATATTTTTTTTAATGTTCCTCCTTAGGATGAAAATATACACACAGAGCCCGAGTACATAAAGCCATGTTTAATTTTTTTAATTTCCTCCATTGAAATAACACAGTGAAGCATTTTGGTTTATAAGGAACATGATTTTTTAGACAATTTATTGTGTAAATATAAGTTATAATAGAGACCCAGCTTCTTTTAAAGTTGAACAAATGAATTGTAAGTTAAAAATGTATCATTTTAGCTTTACAAAAATATACATTTAAATCTTGCCAATCCAGGTATTTTAGTGCTCTCACACTTGGTTTTAATGTTTAATTTAATTTGGCATTGCATTCTTTGTTGAGCATTGTTGTAAAAATGTGACCAGCAATGCAAACACACAGGATGATGAACAGAGTTACATTAATGAGGGTTGCATTCCTCTTTAATGCACACAGACTTTTAAGTAAAAATAGCTGTAATTCTGTTAGTGAGACTGCTGTGTTTATATATTTAGAATATCAGTTTCCGGTGTTCCATCTTAGCCTTTTCCTCTGCTGAACCATCATGTTTCTGCCTCTCTTGATGCCGCAGTTGAAGCTGGTCAACCCGACTCAGTATCGCTTCGAGCATTTGGCCACGCAGCTGAAGTGGCGTCTGCAGGAGGGCCGGGGGGAAGCCGTCTACCAAATCGGCGTGGAGGACAACGGCCTGCTGGTCGGCCTGACCGAGGCCGACATGAGGGCCTCGCTCAAAACTCTAAAGAGGATGGCGGAGAAGTAGGTGCCATCGCTTTCCTGTGGGCTGGTCTTAGTTTTTAAAAGGCTTCGTCAATCATAAAGAGACGCCATGAAATGATCGTCTTTATTTATTAAATATTATTTACTACATGGAGGAAATGAACAAGAATCGACTGGAAAGATGCTGGAGAAGTAAAAACTGGAGAAGTAAAACATTTAGTTTTCCATTTGATACAAATCATTAAAGTTAGCCCGTCTCTACAGAATGTCTTCACCACTAAACCAACTCAATATAATAAAGCATCAATATGGATTACATAAGAAACAAGGTTTGGAAGGAAAAAAAAATACTCCAATTGAATGCAATCTTGATTTTATTCCAATTGTCTATAAACAGATAAGCCAACCACTGGAGAAAGGAATCCACAGACCACCATAACCCAGCGTCCTCCTTTTGTAGTCTTTCCCAGACCCAGTATTGATTCCATTGCGGCTTTAATTTGTCCCCCATCTGTCCACCACGTATCTGGAAGTCATTCAGCAAATCATAAATTAAAAAAATGAGTTTATTATGTTTCATGAAGAAGGTGATCTTATATTCTGCTTAACCCTATAATGCCAAATATATCATATTTGATACATACGGTTTCTGAAATGTTTTGCGTCTGACACCTTTTGTATAATTTAATGGTAAAAACTTTGCTCAAAATCCTATTGTAGACAATCAGATACACCTGATAAAGGGGGCAGATGACTACAGAAAAAATAATCTTGACTTATCGCATAGTAATAAATTATTAATATTAAAAATGTATTTCTATTTTTTCTTTTTACACATTTTGTTAAAAGGCAAAATAAAGACTTCAAACCAAAAAAAAGTAATTTTCTGTTTTGTTTTATTCTTGGATCAGGCTTTAAAGGGTTAAACAG